AGTTAGCAGTTTTAAAAAATCGCCACAAATTGAACCATTTAACAACACTACATGGAACCTGTTAGAATTTATAGGAATGAGGTGTACCCTATGAGATGAATACTGATATGAAAACTGAGTTTTAGTTTTCAACCTTCGATGATTAGCTGACTCTTATGTATGGACATTTTTAAATGCATTTAATCAATGAATCACCAATCTAGTAGCATATCCTAAATCTTAATATGACAAATATAAATATATTTTCTTTCATTATTTTAATTGTTATATACCTATTTATTATAAAGTTTGTGGTAGCCATATCTTTAAATCAATACCATCCAAGGAAAAGTTTATAAGGATTAGTTTAATTCAAGATAGTATTCGTTCAAATAATTTAAGACAAATGGAGATATCCGGGATCAATAACTATACTCAATTTATGAAATATTTTTGCAAGATCAGGAAAGAAGTTGCTAATATTTGAACATTTTTAATTCACATCCCCCCCCCCTTTTTCTTTTATTTAATAATGTAGCATAAGTAATTTATGTTAAATAAATACGATCAATATCCACCTTATTTAATCGTTTAATTTATTTCAAATTTTGGCCAGAATATTTAGAATTTAGTATCTATCCGGATATATAATCAAAGCCTATTAACCAATTTATTTAATAATTATTAATTAACAACAATACTTTCTTTATTAAAATCATAATTATACAAAATATTTATTTTTTTAAATTGACTGAATGAAAATAAAATCCAAAATCTAGTATTATATCCTAGAGGTCGGCAAAGAATGGCCCGACACTAATCAGCCCATAGAATTTACCTGGTTTTATGGCCCAGCCCGTAATAAATTTTTATGAAGGAAAACGACATAAATTTGCCAAATTATCAGCATAAAAAACATTTTCAAAATTTCCACGCCGTCAATAAAAATATCTTGTACAATTTTTCTGGCCTGGCACGAAAATTTTGCCGGGATACTGCATATAGATCTAGTAACCTGTGGCAAAATATAACAATACAATGAACTAAAAAATTTAACAAATGATCAAAAATAAAAAATTTCATTAGTTTGTATTTTCATATTAAATCTTTCTATAACATTGAAGCATTAGCACAAAAGAACAGATCGGACGGTGATTTTAAAAACGCCATGGAAGAAGTTTAATTGGCGTTCGACAATCGAGATACCTATAAAATTTTGATAATTTTTAATGATAGAGAACCCCCTTCTCCTTCAGAAGGAACAAAAACCAAGTATTAATTTTTAAAAATTGTTAGTTTAAGGGCAAACGTTCAAATCTTGATCATGTACATTTAATAGCCAAATATTTTAATTCAAAATTAAAATATCGTTTTAAAAAAAACATATTATTAGATATAAACACATTAGATTTCGGAAATCCAGACATCACGGAAATAGCCGCATTTCCTTCAACTCAAAATAAAATTTTTAACAATTCTGATTTCCTGTGTAACAAATTTTTCTCTATTTTCAAAACGGATTCTGATATGTTTCACAATGTTACATGTCCCTGAGTGAGCTAAAGAAATAAAATTTAAAAGAATGATGGTTTTTAAATATGGTTTGGGCCAACAACAATTAACCTAGATTGACCATTAATTCATTAAAGAGTGTATAGGTTGTTAAAAACAAGCCAATTTAGATCTTAGCCAAAATAATATTAAGCCTCGAGATTTGACAAATAGAGGTCCAAACCTTTCTGCCATCAACAAAAAAAACTTCTGACTAGCATAATATTATTTTAGCTAAAATCTAAATCGGGTAACAACTCTAGGTGTATGCATTCATGATGTCTATAACAGCTTATGACATTGATTACAGCTGAGTTCAATATATGCTCACCTTTTAATAAATGAATCGTCAGCAAGAATGAGGTTTCTAATCGGAATTCTTGAGATTTCGTCGATATTATATTTATTTTAAAAGTAATTTTCAATTTAAATTGCTGGGTTATAAATAAAGCGAAATAAGATGTGTTTGAGCCTTGCATTCGACTTATTTTCTTATGTCCAGTGATATCCGACAAAAATTCTAAAATGTTCTACCGATCCAAATCCGAGTATATTATATTATTTTTTTATTGAACTGTTTTAAAAGTTATACTTTTATTTAACGAGAGCCAAAAGGAAAATCAAATTATTTAAAATTTTGTCGAGCTACCAAGTTCCAGGCCGATTAAAATTTAAAATCAGGATCCGATTCAACCCTTGTCCTGGAGAATTTATATCCCATCGACCTATCCAACCGAGCCAGAATGGATGATAGTGTTATTAAAAAGTGAGTTTCCTACAACTTGAGTTTGGTCAGCTCAATAGTCCGGCTTGATAATATCAGCCAGCCGATTACTTTTATTGGTACTGACCGTTTTAATTTTTTGGCTTTATTTGAATTTCGATCGAGTATATTAGTTATCTAATATTTATTCAGGAAAAGAAGCAATTTTACCGCAATTTTAATCTAAAAAGAAAAATATTTAACCCGTCATTATCATTTTATCAATGTATTTTTTTATTAGGATTTTAACTTTCATTTCCATGAAATGAAAAAAAAAATATAAAATATACTAAAAATATATTTTAAAAACCGGAAATTGAAAAGCGTAAATAGTCATAAAAATAACTTTTCAAATATTTTCAATCCATTGACTTGAAAATCTAGAAATTAGAAAAATTTTGACCATTTTAAAAAAAATTATGTTAAAAAACAATGTGAAATGATTTAAAGTTTAAAACGAAAACCGTAGTTATGGGCACAAGTTTTATTAGCTCTCCTGCTCTATTGACCTTTTTAAAATGTTAAAAAGTGATATAATTTTTAAATTAAAACGTGCAAGAAAAAATTATCAGCTTCTAATCCCCGCTTCGTAAGCCTCATTCTGTTATCAATTTTCCTGAGAAAAATGACATATCACATTCCTATAATTATAAAACACACTTTTCTCTCGTGATAAAACGACGAAAGAAAGTCATGAAATCTATTCCAAAATACATTCTATTTTTCGTAAATCCCGATCCGCCATTAACTTCCCTTATAAATAAAACACATCGAACGAATGAATATCCCCTTACAAGACTATCAACCCAATTTTATAAATATCCCTCGTCGCGTCCGCGCACAAGCGTAAGCGTTTCCTCGGGATTATCTAAAATTACGACGGTGAAAGTATTCGGATTGGAGAAAGCAATTCGAACGACATCTTTTTATGGGGAAATCATAAGGAGAAAGGGATATGGATAAATAAGATCATTTCCGGAAGTGTTTATTCGGTTAAATCGGCGAAACGCCGATCGGGAGCAATTTCTTTCCCTTTTTACAACCGAATTTGTTTTCCGAGGACTTTACCCCAAAATAAACTTTATAAAATAAATTTTAAAAGTTTCTTCGAAAGTGAATCGATAACGTGGGATTTGAACCAATAATTATCGTAAACTTGAAATAGGGCAAATTTGGGTATATAATAGGGTATCAAAATATTTATAGTACGTTTAGAGTCTTTTAAAATAGAAATTATTAAGTAGAAATAATCTAAAAAATAGTTTGGTTTAGATATATTATGATTTAAATGAAAAGATTTAGTGAGAGAGATGGTTAACTTAAAATATCCTGATATCATTTAAAAGCAAAAAATCAACGGTTGTTTTGTGTTTATAAATATTTAACGCCATCTACTATTATAATTAAATTTTAGTAAAGAATTATGCAATTTTAATATTTATTCGATGATTTTGAAATTTATATTTAAAAAAAAAATACTGCCCAAAGTCATATTTGTTAGAAGGATTTATTTTATCTTAAAAAAAATATTAATAAAAATTATAGAATAATTGAAGTATACAATTTAAACATTTATAATTCAATTCAATAACTAATTTTGCAATTCTCAAAGTTCGCTATTTTGTAAAAAAAAAGACTGGTTAAAATAGTTTTAAGCTCCTCCCTCCTTATCGCCCGCTACTGCTAATGAGCATTAATTATCAATCTACTATTTCATATTTGATTGGATTATGAGGTAAATGTCTATTTAAAAAAGGTGCTAATTATGTAAGAACATAAATTTAAAAGATTCTATATCTACATGCAAAAATGGAACAAACACATTTGGTTGCAGTTAGGAGAAAGTGGATGAAAATAGGCGCCTGTATAAATTATCATACTTTAATTCTAAAATTGGTAGAACTGTTTCTAAACGCCAAAATTGTACATAAAGCATTATTGGTTGTGTAGACGTAGAGATTTGCATGAGACGTGGAAATTTTTAAACGACCCAGCCTATTTTTTTTACCTAGTCCAGCCCATATTGAAATGCTCTTAAAAAGAAATCCGCCTCTCTATCTTCATGGTATAGGGATATACAACATAATTACCTAGGAAATATGCATAATCAATGAAATTATGAATTTATTAAGATGGAAGAAGATTTTATCAAAAAAATTCGTTAAATCATTCAAAACCCAGTTTCAGAATGGTGAATTTCTCTTTCAGCAAGACAGTGTTCCATTCATCGAAATCAATTTAAAAAAATATATTGTCATAATATGTAACGAAATAAACGCTGTATAGTTTTGACCTAAATCTAATCAAAATATTTGTAAAATCATTAAAAATAATCTGAGTAAGAGTCGCTCTACAAGCTAAGACATGCTGGTAAATAAAAGAATAGTGGCTAAATTTCCCAAGACTTTGATTCTAATTCTACCGAATTGTTGTACAATTAATTCTTCATATAAGAGGATATGTTACTCACGTTTAATTTTAGCATAATAAAAACGACATAATTTGTATAAAGTAATATTATAGCCAACTTCGTGTTTCGCAAAATTACATTTTCAATTAAGTTATAAATCGATTTTATATAATTCTTAATATTATTATTTTATTTTGAAAATCTTTTACTAGGAAAAAAAAAATTTTTTTACATAAAATTTAAAAAAAAAACATGTAAAGAGATAATTGATTATTTATATATAAATTATATGGTATACTATAATTGTAAAACTCCAAACTCAATTATCAATTTAATAGTGCTTCTTTGACATAATGTAAAACTCAAAGCTAATCCATCAATGCCTCGTCCATTAAATCGTCATTTATGCGACTACTAGAACCTTTGGATGATCGAAATCTTTCATCCTTATCCTTCGTATCAGATGGTGTAAACATAGGAAGTGACGAAGGTATACTGGATTGAAAAGAACGATGTTCATTTATGGGTAAGGGTCTCCTTTCATCTATATCATGATAAAGATCTATGCTATTCTTATTTGAAGTCGACGTAAAAGAGGGATTTGCATTAGGATTAGTTGTATTTGATTTTTCTAGTTTGGGTATTCGCACACCACTATTACTATTCTTAAAAGAGATATTTTGATGTCCATCATTATCGGCACCACCTTTTTCACTTATGGTACAAAGACTCTTTTGCTGCTGTATCACAGATGAAACTATCTTTAGACTGCCATCGGAACTGGCTCGTTTACTGATGGTCATCTTGATACTAGGTTGTTGAGCTTGAGAAAGTTGGGTGGAAGACGAGGGCATTCCAAATAAATTTATATTACCGGATGATATACTAGAAAGTTTAGAAGAATTTATATCGGAAGCATTGGTAAAGGTTGTAAAACTAGGGGCGAGAGTCGAATAATTTTCACTGATCACCGATGTCGTAGATGGGATGGAAGAAGGAACAGCATTTTTAAGCTTATCTATTACGGCGGAAAGAGAGTTCTTTTTAACCTTACTTAGACCTAAATTATTACCTTTGCTTGTGTTAGAGTTGGTTTGAAGGTTAGAGGCAGATTGGATTTTAGTATCTGGATGAGAAGTTGGAGTGGATGACTTTGGGGAGATTATGATCACGTCGTTATTTTTATCTTCAATAACATCCAAATCGGAGTCATAATTTTTGGATGTATCGAACTTTTTACTGTTAGATGGATCGCTAGAAGATGATGATTGTTTGTTACTTCTACTATTGGATTTACTATTCGTCGAGTTCTTGCTATATTGAGAAGACATACCCAGGTTTTGAGCCAAGCGTTTAAATAAATCTTGATGAGAAAAGGGGTGACCCGTTGTCATTTTCGATTTTATAATATTCGTCGTCGAAGAATTATTACAACTGTGTTTAGTGGCTATGTTACTTTCCTTAAGATTCTTGGATACGACTCCTAAGTTGGAAGAATAATTGGCTTTGGGCAATTTCATATTAGTATCTAGTGTTTTTGTGTTAGAGCTAAGTGTCTTATGTAAACTAGGAGTTAGGGAATGGGTGGTCTTAGATGAAGAAGTAACATTAGCATGCTTAGTATTGTGCATCAGTTCTCGTATAGATATTTTTTTAAGAGGTGGGGGTTTATGGGAGTCAACTTTAATTTTCATGCTCGGTAGTTTAGGCATCTTGGAGATTGTGTTATTTGCGGTATTAGTTTCCAGAGACTTTTTTTTGTTAGAAAAGTTGGTTAAGGTAGAAGACTGTTGAGTTTGGGGCGATAGTTTAACACTTTGACTTCTAACTAAGAGATTACTTTTGGTATCCATGCTTCCACCACCAGGTGGATCTGAAAGTGGGTTTGATATATTTGAAGGGGATCGTCTTTGTTTTTTAGCGCCACTCCAAGACGCTCTAAAAGAATTCTTGTGAAAGTCTAAAAATAATTGGGATATTTTAATGTGTGAAGTTAAATAATTTATGAACAAACTTCATTATCTTACAAAAAAAATTATATACAAATAAAATATTAGTGTACTATATATTTATCCAAAAAAATGTTAATACATTTTAAAAATTATACTAATATTTTCCCCAAAATCTTCTTTGGATCTTTCTATCTATAAGCACCAAAAAACTGTAAGGGGCAGATAATTAAAACATATTTTACAAAAATCGAGAATAGATTTCAATTTGAAAATAAATATAATATAAATCAGGAAAATTAATGCGCAAATTTTTTTAATATAATAAAGTTGCAAAAAAAATAAATGAAAATCCATTACCCAAAGATGAATCCAAGGTATTACGATCAATATCCATTTTCTCCAGATCACACTTATTAGTTTCGTCAACATTTACCATAATTATAACATTTGCGTTTTTGCGATCATCTTTCCGGCCTGCATTATCATCCAGTTGTTCTCCGAAATTATTTTGTAAACTGGATTGTGGCACCATTTCTTCATTCAAAAATATTCCGGTGATATTCAATTCGGGATCATTTTTTATAGAAGCCATGACCTCGTCTAAGTACTTAACTAGCACTCTCATGGTTAGAGGAATTGAAAGAGTTCTAAAATAAAATTATAAATCATTTCAAATTCATTTGATATGACTAAAATGTCCCCCAACTAGGGAAATATTTACATCACCTAACCTATTTAACCTATAAAATTGCGAAAATTGAGTGAAAAAACCATATGTCAATAACCAAATTATAACAAAGAATTATTTTAGCCTTTAACAATTTACATTAAAGTTAAAAGTATTCAAATCAAGGCTGGGAAAAACACCCATAAAATTAAGATGAACAACGCTCAGCCTATTTTATATTCAACTAAAAAAAATAAAAGCTATTTTTTTGGATATATACGCTTAAATGATAAAGAGCTAAATACTCTATTGACCAACAAATATTTATTCCTAAATAAGAAGATAGGACTATATAGCTGGGGGGGGGGGGAGGTAAATAAATATGCACATATTTTTAAAATATACTTTTGTATAACGGCATCCATTTTTGATAATAGATTATCGAAATGTTTGGAAGTGATGATATCTCCGAATAAAGTGCATATTTTGGTTTTTATGTGGTGAATGTCGGTTATATCGAATTCAACTTTAAAAAATTTTTTTAACATAATTATTCAATACCGTTACCTCTTTTAACTAATCCCAGATTTCAGAAACCCTATTAGCCAAAAAATGCTAAGTTTAGACCTTTCCCTTACTAACTTATTATTAAACCTTACTAAAGGTATAAAAAATATTCGAGTATTATTTTATTAGAGACCTGCAGGCACTGCCCGGCTCGGGTACACGGGCTGGGCCGTATTTTAATTTTTTTAAATATACCCAGGCCGGGCCGAAATTTTTTTTTTTTAAATCTGAGCCGGGCCCTGCAAATGGTACTTCTGCAGGTCTCTGTTATTTATAAATATGGCATAAAATAAATAAATATAACTTTGAATCATAGTGTGGGATGAATCGTGAAAATAATCCAGATTGATGGCGTTAGGCGTAAGGATAAATAAATAGAAGGAATGGTTAACCAGAAGTGTATTTCGGGAGTCTAATTTTATAAAATCCAATATGATGATCAAAATATGGTTAGGTTTTGGTAAACATAGAAAGGTTGGTCAGACCTAAAGGAGTAAGGGGGACATCACTATGAAAATGATGGTCAACTTTTAATGAGGCTAGGTCTATTCAAAAAAGAATTCAAATAGTAGTTTATTAGTATTCGAGTTATTTAAAATTTTAATTTACTAATCATATTAGTGAATAATAAAATTTATTCATTTTTGAATATGTCTAGTTGTCACTGTAATAATAAGATATAATAGTATATCTCTAATTATAATTTTAAAGAAAGGTTATTTTTTATATCAAATATATAATATAAAATTATTAAGGTTGATCACCAGATTAAAGGTTTAGAGCAGACGGATTTTTAGTCGTGATAATAAACTTTAAAAATATTTACCAGCGGATAGGTTTTACACTTTTTAAGGGGCGGGATTATTTAAAATAACCAAAATAGATAAGAAACTTAACCAATCAAATCATTTTTAAATATCGAGAGAGATTTTAACCGAAAACCCGTCAATTAGAGACCTTTATATCAGATCACACATTTATTTTTAGACATGATTTGGGTTGTCTGCCTACTTACAGCTTATCTAAAATGAATATTTTTTTAAATTGCCTTCATTTTCATTATTGATAAATTTATTCGTTGATTGTAATAAAGAATCCTTGTGATCGACGTACAGACTCAAACAGCTATCTACCAATGTGTTGAGTGTCATTTGTTGCCTTAATACGTTGAGGATTTGCGGTATATGAGTAGGGTGAGTGAAAGGAATATTATTAATGGCTAATGACCTCAGGTTATCATTCTCATTTTCGGTAACAGCAGTGAAAATAGAGTACTGAAATGTATCTCCCTCGGGGTGTAAATTTGGGTCCAGAGGAGGAAGTTTCTTAAATTATTCATAAATGTAAAAATTAAAAATGTCATACAAATAAATATTTGGATAAACTAACCACGTGAAACGTTTGGGGTTTTTCATAATCAGATATTTCGTTCGAGAATAAAGTCGAATCAATTGTGTTACTGTTTTGCGCATGAGTTCCCTTCATTTTTGCGTTTCTTATATTACTGCGATCAATTTCATCTAATTCATCTATCTCATCGATGTCTAATTCATCTTTTAATAAAAGCGCTTTTTTCGCTTTAGAATCATGGGTAATATTCAAATATCTGTTAACAAGCAGTCTGGTCAAGGTTAAAGAGTCTTTGTCCAATGTATTGTCTTTCGAGCACGGGATGCCTAAACATGTGGAGGTATATAAACGGTAAATATTAGGGCTGTGCCGATATTTTTGCCTATGTTAAAATGATATGGTTATAATGTGCAATATCTGGGAATTGCCACAAGATAAGCATTACATTTTTGATGCATAACATCTTTTATAAAACGTTTAACTCCAAAAGCAAGTATAATAACATCGCACAATAGGAATAAAATAACTAGTATTGTTAAACGACTCAATTTAGCAGATTTTAAATTAAGATTTTAGCCAAAATAATATTACGCAAGCTCAGGGATCCAAACCGAACCGAACTGTTAAACCGCTAAAAACCGGTATTTTTTATCAAACCTGAACCGAACCTAAATTGTTAAAAAAATTCTAGCTGAACCTCAACCGAACCGCTAAAATGCCTCTGAACCGGTTCGAGCCTCATGATTTTATTCTTATAAAATAATATGTAAGTTTTTATTAGAATATTAAAAAAATTTCAATTATATTCGAATTATTTTAAAGATTATCATCAATCACATTTGATTGATAAGTTTCTGTCCTAATTTTTATAAACTTTAATATATTGTCATTTTACAACATTTTTTTAATATTTTAAGCTTATAAATTATAATGCTTAGAGAAAAATTAAATCCAAAATATTATTATAAATGGCATATCAAATCTGATATCATATTGGCAGTGCCGGCTACCCAAGTTAGTGTGGAAAGATGTTTTTCAACAATTAAATTTATACTATCTCCTTATAGATGTAATTTGAGTGAGAGGATTTTGAAAATATATTAATTGTGCGGCTTAATAAAAAAAAATTTAAGTAAAAAAAAGTAAAATATTGTTCATATTAAAATTAAACATTGATATTTATTTTTATATTTATAAATAAAATATTTAAGAACCAGTTTATTAACAATAGAATATATAATTTTATAAGTAGATAATAAAAATAAAAAATGAATATATATATATATATATTAAAAGTGAATGTATATTTTAAAAATATAGATGGCTCTAAAAAGAGCTTATAGTAAAAATGTTCCAGGTATAATTATGTTTAAAAATATCTAATTGGAGTTTTTGTTTAAGAAAAATTGATTCGTGTTTTTCGTTTGTAATGTTAAAAATTTTACGTGCTAAAATTTTTTTAAAAAAATATGTTGATTGTGAGAAATTCCATTAGTTGAAATGACTATGGGTTGAAAAATAAAGTTATTTAGTATTGAGTATTTATTAATTTTTTTATTTTCCCCGCTAGTAAGAGGGTTTGAATTAATTAATGAGGGAAAGGAAGAGACGCAGGTTGCGTCCCAAATTAGGGATTTCCCATTGGACCATAGAGTGCAGGTTAAACTGTCAGGTCTGAGACCATCTTGTAAAGAGAGGTTTGTTGGTTCTAGGATGTTAGGTATTTTAGCCTTATTAAGAGCGTTATGGATGATTTTATTTAATAATAAATATTATTTTATAATGTGCAATTAATAAAAATGAAGGTTTTATACATGTGTTTTTTAAATAAATGATAAAATAAAAAAATATTTACCCTATACATAATTCGAAAGTAGGTTTGAATACAAAAATGTTCAAACCAGTTTTTAGAGGTTTGAACCGAACCGATATTTTAATTTTTTACGAACCGATCCTGAACCTTGAACCGATATTTTTATCCGAACCTGAACCCGAACCGATATTCGTTTCGGTTTGGATTCCTGCGCAAGCCTCGTGATTTCGTTAATAGATGTCCCTGCGTAATATTTTTGGCTAAAATATTGGGTTAGCCGTTTTTAAAAATCGAGCCGTTTAATAACACTAATAATAAACCTGTTATATTTTGTAATTTCTTGTAAAAAGGCTTGGATATGATAAATTCATCGTGGTAAAAACTTTTTAGAAAAGATTCCGATCTTTCAAACATGCTACAACAAGCAAAATCTAGAATAAAAGTGGCGTTCAACTGTGTACTATTTTGAGAATTCAGAGCGGAAAAATGGGGCAATCTATTATGATATTGAATTAGATAGGTATAATTAATTTTGAAGCGAATATCGACGGTCTCATTCGACTGAAACCGAATCGATTGACAAACCGATCCTTGAGTTTTGTGACATTCACTAAACTTTAGGAATATGTATCTTATGATATATATAAATAATCATTTAAATTTAAAAAAAACATTTTCATTAATGGAAAACTTTGTCTATACTAAGATATCAATAAATTGAATATCTAATGTGATATTAATAAATTGAATATCTAATGTGATATCAATTTTATAGCGGTTTAGTATTTTAACAAATAAATATATTTATTTAAAAAACTATATATTTAATAATACTTGTAAACATCCACAGCCCCATAACAAGGTATTTTAAAAGTGATTGGAGTTTTTAGGGAGGGAGGGTGATTTATTCTATATTAGGCTAAATGCATTTCTATAAAAAGTCTTAAACCTAATAGTATTCGTTATATTATAAATAAGCGATTTGAGTCCGCTGACTTCCACCATGGTGAGCCACCAATTTTCATTGTGACGGCAACGCTGTGTATAATATTTTTTAAATTGTCCTTTATAATATTTATAAATTTTAAAAGTTGCTTGCATCATTATTTACAATATTATATTTTAAAAAAAAATTAATTTGAATATTAAAATTAAATTATGAATTGTATTGGTATGTCTATTATATTCTTTTCAAGTCTTTTGAGAAATCCAATATCTAATTTTTCTTGTGTCAGGCAATCCATTTCCTTGCTATTGGTATAGCCACCTTGTACTTATTATTATTCCTTTTAATCTAGTCTTTTGCCCCTCTTTAAAGAATTCCATCTTCTGATCCATTGTTCTTGAACATCGTGGTTCCACCGCTACATCTCTATGTTTTGGCGGTCATTATGTTCATCCACATGCCACCTCTGTCAAGTCTATCGATTGTATTGCTAATCCCTTGCCACAATGAGACAGAAGGTAGATTCAAATCATATTTAAAAACGAATCGAATAATGCTTCATTCAAATTCGTGCGAATAATAAAATTTACTATTAATATTCGATTCGAATGCTTTTTTTAAATATTAAAAAATAATTGATATCAATATAATTTTAAATATAAAATAAATTTATAATAAACTGATAATAAAGAACATGGTCAAGTTATTAACCAAATTAATTTATGCTTATTGTCTTTCATATGACTCATTGAATTTACTTTAAAATCCCGCATTGCGCAGTTAACGCGAATTCGCGGCGAAATATATAAAAATACAACATATTTTGTATATTTCGTTACAAATTCGCTCTAACTATGGATGAGATGTAAGATATGCAATTTGATAGCAAATTCCAGTCAAATTACAGGTTATCAAAATAAATGAATACATTTTAACGTATTTATAATAACTCCTTCAAATATTAACATTCGAATTATTTATCAAACATCCAAATTATTGGATTCGTATAATTGTTTATTCGTATTAGAGCAAAACGAATAATTTACTATTCGTATTTGTTACTATTCGTTTTGTTTTTGAATAAGCCTAGCTTATAAGTAATCATGCCTTGATAATGAATATAGATAGATAGCTAATTTAGGTATTATTAATCATTTTTATAACACTATAATATATTTAGATATATTTTGTAAACAAATTTAAAAATATTTCTAAATTTCTCCCTTGTTCGTAATGTTAAGAAGTAAATATTCAGATGTTAAAGATAGTTTTAAAACCGATCGAAACCTATATTAATAATTTCTAAACGGGTCTGTCGATAACCATATACATTCTTGTCCTAAGTCACTTAAAGTGGAATCATAATTTGTGCTTAGTAGGATGTTCAATTGCTATCCTTGTCAAATAATCTGTATTTAATATTCCCTCTTCGTTTACAATCTCTATTATTTACTAATCTAATATCATTAAAGTCTATATGCTTAAAATGATTTAATAATAAATTCCGACGATGTGCAATTTTGCTCTATTAGATTTTTCCTCACAATTTTTAATTTTTAAATCTTAGGTCTAAGACATCTAGATAATTTTTGAAATGAAAATTAAATTTAGTGAGTTAAAATACTATTTTTTGCAGATCGCAAACAGGAATTCGCAAAGCAAGTTTATTTTATAAATTTTTTTTAAATAAAATAATTTCTGAGCTATAATCATAATTATTATTAGATGTTTCTTTTTGAAAAGTAACGTCAAGTTCAATGTAGGCCTGTTTTGTGAAGATAGATATTCAATTGTTTCTTTAATCGAAAGAAAAATTAATATTTCTTCCGAAATATAATTGATAGTTTGAAAGTTTGAGATAATGCTTTCCAATTCTTTTCAAAATATTAATAATTACCAGATATGTTTTTAGCATAATTAATATACTGTGCCATCTGGTTGGAGCATTTAATTTTAACGTTCTTATTTGGCATTATTGCCAATCATCATTAGAATCGCCAATTGAAATATGGGTGTCAGAGTATGAATCAGTGCTATCAAGATCTAGCATATTCAATGTTAGACCTATTTTGGGAATTTATCTAATGGCATTAAATAAATGAAACGATATAGACTAATCATTAAAATAAGAATGTATAAACATGATATATTTTAAAAAAATTTATGTACCAGACCAGCTGTGTGCCACCATTACTTGATTTTAAAAATGTTTGCATCTTCAACATGATCAAAAAAATCGGTGGCCAGTCATAGGCAAGCTGGCAAACAGGTTTAGATATAGATATTAAAATATGATGGCCAGAAAATTCATATAAAAAAATTTAAGAAGCTAGGGTGGACTTTATGCAAGCTTTAACAGGCCGGGCCTAACTTTGTGTAAAATTTTTAAAGGCCAGGCCAATTTAAAAAAATTTATAACAAGTCAGGCCAGACAAATTTTTAAAAATTAAAATGTGCTAGGCCTTGTCAAAAAAATGGGTCAGACTGGGAAATTTATGCAAAAATTCTTAATGGGCCAAAATGAGCCAGGATTTACAGAGATCTCTAATGTATACAGATCAATATTTTACATTTTTCCCTCTGAGGATTTAATTAGACTCATTATGGGAATAGTTTGAAGTCTGTGTGTTGTCGCTTCATTATTAGAACTTATTATATACACATTAACTCTGTTTCGTACATCATTGTTTAAATCTATTATAAAATTTTTAAAATATTATATTAAATTATTTTTTTTAAATACTTTGCAAATTATCCATTTTATTGGCAGTGGCATTAATTAAATCAAAGGGAGATATAAAATAGGTCAAGCTTAATGGAATGCCACCTTTTCTGGGAGTCAAATAACCTAATGGTGAACGCATAAATAGTGTATAGGGATCTATTATCGAACTAAAATTATATCAATACAAATATATTCAATATCTAGAAATATATACTTTTGTAATTTATATAATTCCATAATATCATTTTCTAGTGAACTAATAGCCAGAAAAATTTTCGTTTTTTGTTTTCTAAAAAAATATATTCAAAATCAAAATAAAAGGTCTGCGTCAGGACTAAATATCATTAGACCCAGCCAATAATATTTTTAAAAAAATTGGTCATTGACTGAACCAGTGGTGTTAAAGTAGCTCACTACTTTTTCAGTAGTGGTAGGTAAAGTGCAATACTTTTTTAAAATAATAGTGAGAGCAGTTTCTAACTAATTTCGGTTTTATAAAATAAATACACATAAAAAATAATAAAATATGTTTATAATTAATTCTAAAATCATAATCTTTTTTTTATAATTTTGAAATTGAAATTTATATTTAAAAATCTACATTATAAATCTAATTATCAAAATTATTTAAACTGTTGACGATAGAGATTGTTATTGAAAATAATTTTGGTACAGAATGATAAATATTATGATAATTTGGATTTTCCTTAGGGTAGGATAGAAAATCAGTTAACGGTTCAGGTTTGATTAAAAATATAGGTTAATATTAATATTGGTTTAATGGTTTGGGATTCCTGATTGAGATACAATTAAAAAAAATTATATATATATATTTGAAATTAGTCATATTTTTATTTGTGGAAATAGAGATTCATAAAAAAAAATATTTTTAAAAAAATTCTAAATTAGTGTATAATGTAAAGTAGAGATATGCAAAGTTAGGCCTGGCCCATACCCGGCCAGAGTCCAGCTCAAACGGGCTTTGGGCCTGGCTCGGGCCTAATTTTATTTGAAATAATTGGGTTCGGGCTGGACCTAATATTTAAAAAAAAATCGGGTCGGGTCAGGTAGCTTTGAAAATTTTATTAAATATATCTAAATTTATCAATTTTATATTGAATTTTTTATGTAAAATAAAAATTTTTGATTTTATTTATTGAAATCAAACGCTATATAACATATGTCTTTTATTTTAAGTAATTATAAAAATTAATTTCTATATTTAAATAAATTCGGGCCTGGCTGAGCCGGTAAATTTTTTTTAAATAAATTTCGGGATCAGGCCGGGGCCGGCAAAACTTTTTTAAAAAAATTTTGGGCCAGGTTGGGCTTGAAAAATTAGGCCCGATGCAGATCACTAGTAAAAAGTAGCTATAGCGCACTACAAAAAAACAACTATTTTTGTTTTTAATTTATTTATAAATAATTTGCATAAAAACTACTTATATTTTATGTAATTGTTAAATTACATTTTATTTTAAATAGTTTTTATACAATAAAATTTTTAATATTAAAATCTGTATAAAATATCTAAATTTTGAAATTTATTTTAAATAATAAAAATAAATACATGATTATATTTATGCTTAAGTATTTTTATATAATAAATAAAATCTATAATGAAATACTCTCTAAAATTTTGTTATATGCAAATATTTAAAATAATTTTAACATAGTCTAAGATATAAGCAATTGAGTGTTCATAAAAAAAATTTAAAAATTTAACCCCCCCCCCCTCCTCCCTACTGCGAAAAAATTAATGCTACCCACTGGCTATAGCATACTTTTAAAAGTAGCTTTTAACAACACCGCTAAAATTATTTTCAAAAATTAGGCTCATCCCAGACTAATGTCTATTTGGACCCAGGTAAAAGTTGGACCAGGCCTTGCAGATCACTAATTAAAATATCATTTTAAAAATTACTTATCAGTGGTTATCTGATATAATGTATTTATTCCATTTAAATGTTTTAGAAATTCTGAATATTTATGTTCCCTATATTTAATAATATAACAATTATATTTTATCTTATACATTTTAAGATTACTTCAAAATCTTGCATAAATCTTCTGAGAACTAAAAAAAAGTTTAAGGTAGGTTAATTTATTAATAATTACAATTGGCTCTCCATTATTATGAGCTATTTTTACAGTGAGTATTATAGCATTTAACATATCAACATGAATTTCAATGTAAAACATATCAGAACTAATAAATATTTCATTCACATTCCCATTCAAGGTACTCATATATTTTAATGTAGCTTTCCAGGATATAATTTCTAATTTATCTATAATATCCTGAGAATTTTGCACTAAAATATCAATATTAAAATTTTAAGTATATAATATGAATGTAACCTTCTATATTTTCTTGCAATATTGATAAGCATTCTCTAATTATATTCTTGTTATTATTTACAACCATCTCACAATTTTTAATCTAAAAATAAAATAGGTTTTACATTTTATAAAGAACATTTAATATACATTAAAATTATTTGCTTCTTTGATCAACTCAGCCCAGCTATTTTTCATTATAAAAACCATATGGCTATTGTTATCATAACAAATTACCTAAAAAATAATGACAGGTGACCATTAATATAAACCATATACAAGATATGATTTATAAATGCATGAAATTCATATTAAGTATTGAATATTGCTATATATATATAATTAATACTTTAACAAAGTAAAACTTATTAATATATGTAAGAAAAAAGACATTAGAAACAAATAATGTTGTAAACGAAATGATTGCTTTCAAAGTTCGTTTTTTTTAAAAAAAATTATGAAAGGCGTTCCTTTTATAACGAACTTAGAATGTGAACGTTTTCCTTTTTTATGCGTGGTCATAGCTCAAATATGAAAAATATTTTACAATAATATCCTATATTGAAGGAACTAATTCAATACCAGAGTTGTACATTTATTTTTTTACCCCTTTATTAAAAGCCCAGATGTTTTTCAATTTTATTAATATAATATTTCTTTTATGTTTTATACCTCTCCTCCTGCCTTGATGAATATTGAAAAACATCTGGGCTTTTAATAAAGGGGTAAAAAAATAAATATCATGAAGATTTTTGAAGATCGTTGATCGACAAAATTTTTAAAAAATAAAAGATCTTCAAATTTTACGATCTTCAAAGATCTTGCTCAGATTTTTGAGCTAGATCTCGCTCAAAAATCTTCAAAGAAGATCTTTTGTACAACTCTGTTCAATACCAAATGTAAAATGTGCCCAAAAAGTATTATATCATTTTCAAATTCAAGTTCCAATACGAAATTACATTTGATTGTAATATTAATTATTTTATATGATATAACTAGTAATATTATTAAATTTGAAGAAAAAATGCATTTGGACTATTTGACACCAACATTAACGATAGTTATATTAAAATTAAAAAAAATTAGTGGCCTAAAATATGGTCAACCAGACGCGGTATTAAATAAATTTAATAAAAGGTATCAAACCTATCACTATCAAATTAATTACAATATATTTTATTTTTTTAAGATTTGAAAATATATATGAAGATCATATGTTCTTTGTCTTTCTGCAATTATACAACCAGTATTCAAGCTTCAATGGCCATGGATAAAACTATAAAAATTAATAAAATGCATTGAAACCCTAGAAATGATAATGCAAGAACTGTTAATTTCGAGATATCTTTTTTTTGGCGAGGAAGTAGAATATGGATTGGATTAGAATAACTTATCTCAATTTTTTGAAGCAAAGGACAAAACAATAAATGTTTTTAATAAATTCTTCGAGTTAAAAGAGTTGTTTATTAAGTATAATATAGCAATTCCCTCACGAGCGCGTTTTTAATATAGTTAATGCCGTATTAACTGTCAAGCGTTCCTGTCTATAAGATGAAAATTTTGAAAAACGATTGTTATTAAAAATTAAAAAATTAAAAATATCATTTTATTCGTTATATTATATTGTATTTATAATTATATTATCAAAATAAAACTATATTATTTTTTAACATTGCTAATATATGGTGTTAAAAAATATAAGACATTATATTAAATTAAATTTTAAAAATAATTTATCATAAAATTTTGAACCAGAACACATTCCTTTATTTTGAAAACTGAACTGTGAACGTGTTTGATTTTTTTAGAAATTTTTACCACTAGAAACAAACCATTATATAAAATAAGGGTTAAAATGTTTAAAATGATTTTTAATTAAGATTGGCTCCTTGAGAAAAAGGTCTCAGATAAAGCTAATGTTAATAGACTTGTGCATGGGTATTGCGAGCCTTTTTTAAGATAAAATCCTTCACGGGGTTCATCAGTAAATTTACGGATTGTTTTATGATTGTAAATATTGTTAAATAATATATTATTTGTATTTTAAGGTTTAAGGCATTATTTTATAAGGTATTGTGTCTTAATAATTGAACATGTATTTATGATTTATTTTGAGTTTAAATGTTAATTGTATAAAAAGAAAATAATATATAAAAAGGACATTTTTTATATAATAATTACATTGAAATTTCTTGAAATAAATTATATTATTGTGTCACCATCAATTCTATATCCAAAATCATTCATCTCATTATCGGCTCAAACCCCAAAATTAGTGCAAGTTCCCCTCTCCCCCCCTTGCATCCCTGTTGTATAAGCCTAGATCTTTGAAAAAAGATGATGCTATGTAATGTTGTTAATTTGCTTGATCTTAAATTTACGATTCAATTTGGTGCTATATCAGCACTGAGCATGAACCCATAGCACAGACCCGGGATTCAGACTCTTGGTCCCACTCGGGGCCCAGACCCGGAATCCAGATTCTTGGTTCAGATTGGGGTTTCAGACTCGTGGTTCAGACCCAGAAATCAGACCGCAAAACCCCATTTATTTTTTATTATTTTTGATGAACTTGGGAAAGCATAATAAATATTAACCTAGGAACTAAATCAAAAGATCCATTTATTAGGAGCTTTTCGATTGACTAATCTTGGCTTGAGGGCTCAGGAATATTTTTTCAACACAAAATAATATGGATATCAAATAAAAGGTGTTTTAATTATATATTGACTTAAATCATAATTATTATTTTAAAAAGGCGGTTCTAGGTCTTTTGAAGTCTGGAATATTTTTATCAACTCAATATATCATTATAGATATCAAATACTAGATAATTAAAATATCCTTTTAATATAAAAATATTTATTTAAGTGGTATAGAATCTAGAAATATAAATTATGATATAAAATATATAAAGTTCAAATTTTTTCTCGCTAAATATTCTATATATTGTTTTTTTTCTTCCCCATCCAAGATAACTAAATTTATTTTTTCTTGTTTACACCATTCTCGCTGTTTGAATTTTTTATTTGAATAATGTAAATTGAGTCAGTCTTTGCTTTATCATACCTTACATGTAGTTTTTTTTTTAATTTTATAAGATAAAAAAAATCGTGTGATAAAATAACATATCATTTTTTTCGTTCATTTATAATAAATTATGTTGGACTTGAATAAAATAACTAAATAGAAGGATATATTATATGATATATTATTGATTTGTTCCGAACCGTAGACATTATGCTCAGATATAGAATGTATTATTTTACAATAATGCTTAATAATATTTATTAACATCTTTTTATAAATTATAAATAGGAGAATATTTTTTATTAATATGTGACACAATTAAACTAATACTCCAAGTTGAAATTATAATCTTGACCAAAAGATTTTCAAAGTTTTCATTATATTTTAATAAATATCAAATGATGGTTATCTTAATTTTTTTTAGAAGCAGCAAATAATTTCCAAAAGAAAAATGGCTTATAAACTCGATAAGTATTTATTTATCTAAATAATGTTATTTCAAATAGTTCAAATAAAAATTATTTACCAAAAGTAAAGATATAGCAAAACACAATGGCGTTTTCTGGGGTTAGACAATAAAGTCCTGCAAGTCGCTCAGCTTCGGGTTGAAAAAAATTTAATCAGGTCGCGCTATGTCTAAAAACACCAAAAAAAATAGGATTAAAATGAGCTATTATGTTCGTTAGCCGAGCGATTATTTCCTGCCATACAACTTTTGCAACAGTTGGTAAAATCACTTTTTTTCTAAATAAAAGATAAATTACAATTTTTCTGGGATTAGGACATGGATTTAGTATCGAATTTGACATACAAAAGTTAAAATGATTTTTATTTATTTTTTCTATTTCTATATTTTCGGACGTCGGGTTAAAATGAAGGTGTTAGTGTCTATAAATCAATAGATAGGGCTGAGATAGGATAAATTAATTAAAATTAGCTCAGGCTAAAAAAACTGAATTTGCAGAGTTCTACCTCGGGTAGAGTAAATTTGTAATTTTACTAGTCAATTCACAGTTAGTGCAAATTTGCTGCGAAGTATAAAAAAATGAATGTGAAATTTTTATAATCATTGTTTATCGAGATTCATAAAAAAAATAAATATTATTATTAAATGCAATGTGATGTGATTCAATGTAAATTTATTCACCTGCTCTGTTGTCATATACGATCATTTTATTAACTCCACTAAACGAAAACTTACTAATCTTAAATCTTAATAAACACTCTAATTATAAATTAAAGCTTTGTTTTTATTTTATTCTACATTATGGATTGGCATCTTGTAGATTCGGTCTGTTTGACCTATCTATTTTATCTCTTGTATACTGTTAAATTTATATATATAATTTTATAGTTTATAATAGTTATCCTTCTTCAAAACCTTTGTGGGATTTATATACTTACAATTTACAAAATTTATTAGTTTTAATATCGACAATTATATTTTGAACACATTTAAAACTTTGCAATAATTATCCTCAAAATGCTTTATCTAAATCTTAGCAACTAATAATATTTTGACTGAGGGGAAAGACCGAGCAAGACTGAAAGCTGAATTGAATAAAAAATATTAAAAAAAATTTTTTTTTTCTCTATTCATAAATTACTAAAAGAAATAATATTTAATAAACTAAACCACAAAAATATTTAAAAAAAAGGAAAATATTTATTTTCCCTAAAAATTTTGTTTAGAATAAAATCGTTCTTAGAAGTACCCTCCCCCTCCCCATTTATTTAATGGTTTTTTTATTAATTTTAATGAACTTGTTGAGCGTAGCATTATTTTGATTTTAAGGCTATACACATGAAAATATTGGATTATTCTTAATTTAACTATAGAATATTAGTAATTGAGCGTTTATAGCTTAAA